AGTAGCATTGATTACTGCAACAGTGTCTTTGCAGGTCTGAATAAAATAATTACTAAAATGATGAAGAAGAAGAACTCCACTCCAGTTCTACAGTCCTTACACTGTTCCTTTAAATCAAGGCTAAAACCCACCAGTTTAGGATTTGATTAATCATAATTGGAAAATTGGTCAAAATATTAGATGATAGAATTTGACAATGTTTAGTCTTTATTGCTTGCTTCATAATTGGTGATTTATGTTTTTATGCTATAAAGCACATTGGACTGAAATATTCTAAATAAACTTGACTTCATGGAGCGAAAACGTTCCACTTCACCATCTGTTGCAATCTTCTTCTCATGCCCACCTCTCATCTAAAGTACATTTACAATGAGATCCAACACTCTAAATGCAAATGAGCGCCGCAGAGCGACACGCTTACCTCAGAGGAGTCGGAGCAAGGAAACCATGGAAACATTTATTCACCGTCTTTGCTGTTTACTTCCTTACTTTGCTCATTTTTTGGTGGTCTTTGATGTCGTGTTCAGGCACCCCTCTGCTGTTTGTGGTTCCCTGGGCGGTGATGAAGGTCCTGAAGGAAAACAAAGAGTGAGTGACGGAGTCTTCCTCAGCTCTGAGCCTCAGATAAGGAGGAAAGCTAATGATTGTTTCCTTTCCAGATGTTGGGCCGTGAATGAGAACATGAACTACTGGTGGATCATTCGCTTCCCCGTCCTCTCAGCCTCTCTAGTAACGATGTGGTTGTTTTTATTTATTATTATATGAACTGATATCCGACTTTATTCATTCTTTCATTAGCTGCGTTTCCATTACCAACCTTTGTCAATATTCGACTAGTAAAAAAAAACACAATTTCTCAATTGTAGTGTTTTCATTAAATAAGAAATTAAATTAAAATCACACAGCAATAAGCTTGTCATTTAAACAAATGTGATTAAAAATCATGGCACCGACGGATTTTTTTACTTTATTTCAAATAAATAACATTACATAAAGGATCTTTAATAATAATAAATATGACGTTGTTTTAGTAACGTCCGGCTGTTGATCATGTGACTCGTGACGCGAAAAATTGTTTCAGTGTACGGCCAAGAAAAACCCCGCCTCGACCAAAAACATTTATTTATTTATTAATTAATTTAATTTACTTATTTATTTATTTAATTTGACCAAAATTGGCATGTTTCCTTTAAGCAAAGTTATTTTCGCAATTTCAATTTGCACAATTTTATGGTTAATTGAAACAGACAGTGAATTACAAAATTGCAACGGAGTAAGGCTTTTTAATAAACTACCAGAATAAACTCATAACATTATTACAATAAAGTCATAATAGTAGCAGAACAAAGCCGGAAAAATAATAGAAAAAGTTTTTGAGTTTTGAATTGTCTCTTAAAATCCCAACAAAACACACAGTTTGTGGTTTTAATGTTCCAAAGTGTAAAAGGTTTACAGCTGTAAAATCTACCATAATGAATGTGCTGCTGAATGCAGATCATGTCGTTATTTTCCAACCAACAGATCAACTTTCTGATTTTCATGAAGATCCTGGGGGTGATATTTTCCAAACTACGGGCCAACATCCACAGTCGATATCCAGATTACAAACTACGGCAAGTAGACGCAGTCATACTTTATCTCCTGCAAAACGATTGGATGAATTTCAGAACAAAGGAAGTTGAAGTTTGTGTTGGTTTGTTCCTCCAGACTGGCCAAAGCTACCCTCACCCTCATCCCTCTGTTCGGGGTCCATGAGGTGATTTTTATTTTCGCCACAGATGAGCAGACGACAGGGCTGCTGCGCTACATTAAAGTATTTTTCACTCTGTTCATCAGTTCATTTCAGGTAAGTGCAGCTCAGCAGGAAAGGTGGAGATGCAACAAACCAAATTTAATGTTTTTTTTTTTTCTTAATTTTTTTTTCTCAATGGAAAAAAGCAAGATTTTTAAAGATTTTGTTTCTTTGCAGGGGTTACTGGTGGCGGTTCTCTACTGCTATGCTAATAAGGAGGTCTGAGACTTTTACTGTTCATATCAGATTTCTGCTTTATAATTGTAAAATATGCTGTTTTTTATGCAGCATGACTAGCACTTCAGCATTTTTGCTAGTGTTTTTGAAATAATTAATAGTAATAATAATAGTAATACTAAATAACTGAAAAAGTATTTTTACCATTACATTAATCTGATCTAATCTTTCGCTTTGCGCTTTATTTTGCCATAACTAATAGCTTTTGTTATTTTTTAAAAGGCATACTCTTTAAAATGATGAAACATTTGGAAAATTGAATTGCCTGTCAGCCTTTTGTTAGTTTCCTTTTTCTCCGGCTGCAGGTGCAGACAGAGCTGAGGAGGAAGCTCCGCAGCTGGAGGACAGAGACGGAGATCTTACGCCATGCACAGTGACTAGCGGTGCTTGAATCTCGAGGTGAGACTTTCTCCATCGCCACCGTTCCGGATCACAACAGATCCCCCATGTCAGCAACCAGAGCAAAGACAGACAGATCCTCAAACCCTGGGAACTCACAGACTGTTGGATGCAACGTTTGGACAACTCCTCCACAAGCTGATGATTTGTTGAAGCAATCACCTCCAGCAGCAACCAAAGAAAAGACCATGCAGCTCAGGGTTGAGAAGGAGAAGGAAGAATCATCTGCAGAAATGCAGGTGTCTTTCCTCGTTCACCTGAAAGACCCTGTAGAGTTGCTGCCACATGCTGTTAACACAGACTCAGACTGAAAACATTATTTTTCGGCATATGTTTTCATTTACTATATTCTAACATAAATATACATACCTGCAAGCATTTCATATTTGATATCTTATATTTAAAATTCTTATTTAAGTCTTTATTTATTTTTGTTAATGTATTAATGTTAGCCTTTAAAATACCAGAAATGTCATTTAACTTTATGCATTTTTTCTGCTTTAACTGATCAGAGGTTCTGATCAGTTATTCAGAGTACAGATTTTACCAAATACTTTTTTACTTTTACTTCAGTAATTACTTGGATGAATACTTTTCACTTTTACTTAAGAAAAATAAGTTGAAGCGGTGCTGCTCCTCTTACTTTAATTTCATTTTTGTGTCTTGAAACGTGATTGGTGTTTGGTCTTTATAAACTTCACTACCCAGAGTTCCCTTCGGCGCTGCGTCATGAGGTCAAGCTAACATTGTTGTCGTTGGAGACGGCGCAGGCTGAAGCGGGAAGAGAGAAATAAACGCTGAAACCAGTAAAGAAAAGTTACCCGAAGCGCTCCCACCGCGTCAGAAAAGAAGGAAATATGTTCATTTTTATAAAAACATGAATCAGAAACATTATCATTTGGTGGGCTAACAGGAGAATGAGCTTTTCCCCCGCTTCTTCTATTGACCGGCTGTTTGTTTGCTAGCTAAAAGTCAACAGGTTGACTGTTGATTTGCAGCATCTTTCAATGGCCTCAACAGGTAAGGCTAAAACACGTCATTCCCCAGGTAAAAACACGTCTGCTGGGCTTGTTTAATGTCGCTAATTTAGCTGTTGTTTAAGCTCGTAAAGTAAAGTCTGCCCTGTCTGATGTTCTGGCTGTGATTCGTGCAGGTTGGCAGCATCCTTACGTGAACATTTTCAAACATGTTAAAGTTGAGAAATGGAGAAGGTCGGCCAAAGCTGGAGATGTGTCGTCTGCTATGGTAAATAAATCTAAATAAAATCAAAATCTGTACAGTTTGCATTCATTTATAGGTCATTTTTTATAAATTTTTCTAACCGTGTTTTTCTATCCAGCATGAAATTATTTAATATAATCTTTTTTTTAAAGCAACAATTGTGTCCAGAGTTTTTTGCACAGAGGGCAAAAATCCCAAAGTTGAAATTATTCAGAAACCAAAATTTTCTTTCCCACCACCCAATTACAAAACTCAAAAATATCATTGCAAATTATTTTTATTTTACCCGAACAAGAATAAATAAAACAAAATATTTTTTCCTTAATGTTTACAGTCATTTAACGTTTTTAGGCTTATTATTTTCCAATTTTTTAAAGTCTGTAAAATTTTTGTATATTCTCAGCAACGAAAATAAGAGTTTTCTTCTACAAACTTTGTCAAATATAATGGTTAAAATTCAGTTAAAAAACCCCACTGTACTAGTTATTAATCAGTTAATCAATATTTAATGTTCAGATCATTCCTGCACTAAAATGATCTTCAGTCCAGCAGGAAGGGATTTTTTTTAGCTGTAGATTCATCTTTTGATGAAAATAATCAAGCGTTCATAAAAGGACTACTGATTTGCAATTAAAAAAATATGTTTATTTTCTTATTTAAAAAGAAATGTAATTGTTTACTTATATAGTTTAATTAATTTCTAATATTGTAAGAAAAAATACTTTCAGTTAAATGATAAATCTGCGGAATATGCCTTTTGTTCCTGATTAATCTTCAGAATATGTGCTAGCTGAAATAATTAGCTGCAGCTCTATTTGAATCAAAGCTTCAGTGTGTTTTTCACTCTCTCAATAAAAAATGTATAAAAATCACTTGTTAAACCTGTACAATAAAGTTTGATTGATGTGAAAGTAAAAGTTTGAGTTTCTACCTAAACTTTGTGTTCTTGCCATTGACAGGAATTTAAATATGTATGTGTTGCTTTGTCTGGTTTTGTTTTGTTTTTTACTTGTGTGTGTAAAGGTTAAAAAAGTCTAAAAAATCAAAAGAGCTGAAAATGGACTCCCACACTAGATTCAGCTTGTTTGGTCTCTAAATCTCATGCAAGAGCATTGTTAGCTTTAGCTTTAGCTCTAGTCTTTAGCTTTTAGTCGACTTTACTGTAAAAATTAAAAAGCTGCGTTATGATAATCCCTCAGATGAAACTCAGGTTTGTGTTTGTTTGACTGTTTTGCAGGACCGGACTCTGAGGTGTCCGGTGTTTTCTATCAAAGGTCCAGTTCCCACTAACAGCTACATCCTGGTTCCCAAAAGCAGCCACCAGTCTCTGGGCCTGACCGGTCGATACTTCTACCTTCTGTTCAGACCCACGCCTGGAAAATACTTCATGGTCCACCTGGACGTCGCCGTGGAGGTACCGCAGCCAACCGTGGCGGTTCAGTCCGGGTTTGGATGTGGATCTAACTCGTGTTCTGGTCGCTGTGTGCTGCAGGAGGGCCAGGTGGTCCGGATCTCCTTTTCCAACATGTTCAAGGAGTTCAAGTCCACAGCTACTTGGCTCCAGTTTCCCTTCCTTTGTGGAGCTGCGAAGGATTCGGTTTACGAAAAAACCTCGAGATCAGCGAGGCAAGGTAAACTTCATGTTCACACCTTAAAGGTTTTGTTAAAGATCGCTTACAGGAAACCTTTCGTTTTCCAAGCTCTTAAAAAAGACAAAAAGACACCCAGCCGCTTTTTTGCTATAGGTTCTTGTTTTTTGGTGTCTGGAAAATGAGCCGTTAAATTACGTCACATTCCACGGGCACATTGTCCTGTTACCTAGCAACCCAGCTAAGCCCAGCCTGTTACCTAGCAACCCAGCTAAGCCCAGGCTGTTACCAAGCAACCCAGCTAAGCCCAGCCTGTTACCAAGCAACCCTGTTACCTAGCAACCCAGCTAAGCCCAGCCTGTTACCTAGCAACCCAGCTAAGCCCAGCCTGTTACCAAGCAAACCAGCTAAGCCCAGCCTGTTACCTAGCAACCCAGCTAAGCCCAGGCTGTTACCAAGCAACCCAGCTAAGCCCAGCCTGTTGCCTAGCAACCCAGAACTCCAGCACGTTTTGTCTGCTGGATTGTGTTTTTTTGAGTCTGTATTCTCCAGTTAATGATTATTTGATTATTAAATTAGTTGACTATTGCTGTTTCAGCCCTGATGTGAAGTGTTAGTTTTTCACCTCACGTCAGAAAATAAACTACAGTGGATTTAATTCTGGGTTGTTGGCGTAACGGAGAGAGAGTACAGATGTCTGACACACTTTTAGAGTTTTATTTGTAAATAATCTTTGAAAATGACACAGTTTTACTTCCCCTTCACGATGCAGCATGCACTGTTTAGTGTGTTTCTATCACAAACAATCTCAGTAGAACATATATTTTGTTGTTGACATCGATGAAATGTGAATATTTCATGAAGCAGAAAGCATTGAGCTCAGTGGGTTCCAGTTGCAGGTCCGGTTTGTTTCTGCAGTGTCTGTCGTGTGCTGCAGGTCTGGTGGGTCCGGCTCCGGACTCGGTGCGTTGGACCTGCCTGATGATCGACCTGTGCTTCACGCTCACCTTCTACCTCAACCGGCACCACGCTCACCTGAAGAGCGTCAAGCTCTGCGCCAACATGGCCGTGAAAAACATGTTCACCAGCGACCTGCTGCTGGACCCAGGTGAGAAACAAACCGCCGAGGGAACGGGTTAGGGTTAGAGCAAGTCCTTCCCTCCAATCAGGATGTTTGAAATGTTCCTAGTTTCACGCCTCTGGTAAGGCACAGAGCCACCAGTGCTTGGGAAAGGTTACAACTTATTCAGCGAATGTGTGAAAATTAGATATTTTAAATTTTGCCACCTCCAATAATCCTTTCTAATGCGATGCATCAAAATAGGCATAAAACCGTTGATGGAAACATGTTTACTAGCTTTGTTTCCATCAAATGTCATGCAAACTTTTAAAATTTCACAGCCAGCTTCTGCTAACGCGACGCTCGACTGTAGGAAACAGGAAGTAGCGTTTGCTAACTAGCATGGAGCACATCTCAGAAAAATGAAGAATCCTCCCCTCCCAGCTCGAAGTCTGAACTTGGAAATTTTCTGGATTTGGTGCCTTTGGTAAGGCACAGAGCACATTAGCTTTTTGCAAAATTTAGAAAATTATTTGTAATATTAACGTTTCCATCAACAGTTTCTAATGTGATGCTTCAAAATGTTATCTTAAAGCACCAGATAGGCATTTAAAAAACTAATATATCAGAATCAGAAGTTCAGGCTTTGTAAAAATCGGTGATCAGCCTGAAAACTGCAATCAGTTCACCAACCAGAACTTTCTTCTTTTTCCTCCACAGCAGTGACCTTCAGTGAGGCGAAGCTCCGAGGTCTGTCCGCCTGCCGGGGAACGGGTCCGATTCCCAGAGAGATGTCCTTCCCGGTGCCGAAAGGAGGCTCCTGGAATGACTTTTACGATCACGTCAAGTACGAAACTCTGAAGTGCTTTCACCAAAACCACGGCTGTGGCTCGGCGGAAAGCTGCGGGTTCGACTCCAGCTTCCTGCTGCCACCTGTCCAGTGTGTCGGTTTGTGGCTGGATTAGAAAACGTTTTAGAAATTCAGTCACCGTCATCGTGTTGGGAAAAATTCATTTTTGTTCTTCCACTTTGGTCTCTCTGCTTGGAAAATCTGGAAAATGAGCCACTTCAAAAACCTCTCAAGGGGCAATGCAGTTACCTAGCAACCCCAGAGAAGCCTAGCCAATCTGAGCTCCAGCATGTTTGGTCAGCTGGCTTTTCCTGCTGTACAATGGCTGCTGGGAAAGACGAGTGTTTTGTTGTTGACTTATCATCCAGAAACCACCTGCTGCGTTCTGGTTGGATGTGCAGGAGACGCCACTTCTGCTTTTCAAAGACATCTGTTTACGTTTTCACATAAACGTTGAGTTGGGGGTGTGGTGAGCAGCAGCTTATTTGGATTTAAAGTGACAGGACGCCTTAAAGCAGCTCATTCTGAGCTGAAATGTGATTATCTAATAATTATTAATGTAATGAACATGTTTTGTATAGGCCACAGACCGATCCTAACCCGCTAAAGGTAGCATAACGGGTCGCCTTTAAAAAGGTTTATATGACACCAGTAGCTGAGCTGCTCATATTTAGACTGCAGAAGGAATTAAAATGTTTACGTTGTTTTGCTCTACAGGTTTCCCTCTGATGGGACTAAACTTCCCTTTGACTCCATTCAGAAACCGGATCCAGAGGCTGGTAAGTTAACGTTATCTCACAAAACGAGCCTCAGACTCAGAAAAGCTTTTCTGTCTCTAACAGACCGACGTGTGGTGCGATCAGAAACGGTGGCAGCCGTAGTTTTCCTGGAACCAGTTTCTCTCCAGAGGAGTTGCTTGTTTTTTCTGGACCCGGCCATCCGAGTCTGCAGCTCCAATTGGATCAGAAAATGTTCTGACAGAAACGTTTCTGTGCCGTTTTCCGTTTGTCTGGTAATAACTAAATGTTGCGAGGTGATGCTGTTTACGCTGACAAAATTACTCAAAGCACAAATTGGAATAATGAGTTCATTGTTGGCGCTGAGGTTTGTTTTCCTGAACAAAAAGCCTCATTTCAGCTGGACCCGGGTTTTCATTTCTCCTCAAACGGGTTCTTGTGCAGACGGATAAATGCATCCAGTGTTCAGTCCACAGGAACGATGATATTTATACTTTTATTGTAACAACTGTAAAAACTCGTAAAGTAATTATTTTTCAGTCACTGATTTCCAGTTCATTTCTCTCCAGGAAGACCTTCAGACGAGACTGACGAGCCTCGCTCCGCCAGAATCAGCGGCCCGGTTCAACACCGAGGTTCTCCCTGTCAGCTGATCGCCGCCTCCAGACTCGTAAAAACAGATTCAGATCCTTACATTTAGTTTTTATGTTTCAGACAAGAAAAGAATCTAAAACTTGTTGCATTCTTCGTTTCGTCTTCTCAGCTCCCGAGGAACCGAACGTCTGTGGCGTCCAGCGTTCCCGAGTTGAGTCCGTCTGACGCGACGGAGGCAGGAGTTCATGTGTACGCGCATCCGCAAGACGCTCTCAGCACGCACGGAGACAGCAGCGGAGACGAGGTGCTGCCAGCAGCTGGACCGCAGCTGCCAAACACAAGGCGCGCGGGCCAAAGCCGGCCCGCCGTAAAGCTTTATGTGGCCCAGGGGGACAGGAGAATAGAACCTGGAAATAACTGTTCTATGCTTAAAAACAGTTTTTTTGGGGACAGGATTAAGAGCACAGGAATAAATATCTGAATTTTTCTTAGAATTTTGACTTTTTTCCTAACCCTAATCCTAAAATCAATAGTTGCAGTAATGGAGAAAAAAAGATTTTGGTAAAAATAAGAATTCTGGGGGAAAAAAGGTCGATTCTGAAAAAAATTCAGAATTTGAGATAAAACTTTCAGAATTCTGAGACAATTTTTATATTTTTCAGAATTGTGACTTCAGAGGATTAAAGTGAGAATCTCTTTTTCAGTGGCAGTAATATTCTTCCATAGGTATTCTGCCAAATTGCATCAATGTGTAATGATGTGATTTAACTCTGCCGTTGAGTGCAGAGGCGCCTGTTCGCTCCGATTTACAGGTTTGCTTTTGGGTTTTATCATCACGTTCATAATCTCAATATTTCCCAAAATAAAAATGAGTTTGACATTTCTGGACTAAATCAAATCTAAAACATCAAGGAAATCTGCAGTGATGTGATGTAAATAGACAACATGAGGGAACAAATACTCCCAGTCTCATTGTTTGGCTGCTGTCTGTTGTGATTAAACATCTGGACTTGCTCTCCAGGTGTTTGGCTCCTCAGTGTCGCTTCCTGTGGCCTCGTTCAAAGAGAGCAAGCAGCAGGTATGTTGGGTGCAGAAACACTTCCTTAGTGACTGAATGATTAAATATTTAATGTAATGCATCTTTTCCTGCTGCGCTCCGCGTTGGAAGCTCCTGCCCGACCCGATCCTGCAGCTCAGCCGGATCATCGGCTTCGGAGGAGCCACCACCAGATATGTACGATAATCGCTCTTCAGATGAAATCTGACTTAATTTAGAGGTTTAGTAGCAGAACCTTTCCGTCCTGCAGGCCCTGTGGACCAAATCAGGGGAGGAAGTGGTTTATCCGTGCCACGCGATCATCGTTTCTATGAAGATCCTGTCCAGCGAGCAAAGATTCTTCATCGGCCACACAGATAAGGTGCTTCATTTTAGCTAAACCCCAAATCAGCTTTCTGTTCCCAGATGGGCTGGACTGGTCCTGAAGGCTCCTGTGTTCTGGGTAAATTGGTTTCAATCTGCAATATTTGTCCTAAAACTGCCCCAGTGCTGCCCTCTTCTGGTTGGACGGTGGCACTGCAGGTGACTTTTCCTATTGGTTCCAATGGTAAAGCTCAGCTAATGCTACGTCGCTCGGCCCTGCGTTAGTATTTAACAACATTTATAGATTTGTCTCCTATCAATTTTGCTTTTGCAAAAACGTTTTTAAATTTGTTGCTCGCTACTCGAGTTTTGGAGAAAAGTCACAAGATTTCCAGCTAGTCACTTTTGGAGAAACGTTGCTAAATTTGATTTGATGCTGGTTGCCTTTTTGAATAAAGTCTCAAAATTTGTCAAAAGTCTTTTTTTTTCTGGAAAAGTTGCTAAATTTAGTTGTTGGTTGCTTTTATAGAAAATAATTCACTAGAATGATCGCTTTCTTTTTTTTTTTAAGAAAAAGTTGCTAAATTTATTCCTTTTTTGCGAAAAGTATAATAGAATAAAAGTTGCCAGATTTGTCTCTTTTATTTGGTAGTTGTTGCTAATCTGTCTTTTTGTAAAAACGCAGATAGCTTTTCCAAGGGAATTTATAATTTATTTTGGAAATAAAGAAAGGTAACTTTGTAATGAATCTCTTTTTTGGCGATTTGGGGGGAATGTTGTTAAATCTGTATGGATGGATACCCAACGGTGCGGACGGGCTGACTTCCTGTCTCTCCTGTCTGCAGATTTCTGCGCTGACCTTTAACGGCAGTACGACCCTGCTGGCGTCGGCCCAGAGCGGCAGCAACAGCGTGGTGCGGCTGTGGGACTACAGCGGAGGAAGCTGCCTGTCCATGTTCAGGGCTCACTCTCATTCTCTGTCCTGTCTCAGGTGAGTTCAGACCCGAACGGCTTCGGCTTCCTTTGTCTTCCTCTCATTGACCTCGCTCTGCCCCAAGTTTCTCCTCTGGGGGCGGCATCCTCTGTGGCGTGGGGAAGGACAGACACAACAAAACGGTGAGCAGCTGGTTTATTTCTGCATTTAGAAAAAGCTGCAAGGAAAAATAAACTGACGATATTAACAGCAACATGGCTGCTGCAAAAAGGCTTGAAAATAATAGACTAAATAAAATAATACTGGTTCCTGTCCAGCCATCAAAGAGCTTCTCAGTGAGAGCTGAGTAGAAATTAGCTACTTTTACTTGAGTCATGTCATTATGAAGAATCTCTTCTCTTGAGTTAAATTTCTGGATTTTCTTCCCACTGAATGAAAAACAAACATGTTTTAACCAAAAACCAGACAGACTCACCTGCAGTTTCTGTTAAAGTTTCATCAGTTTTTTATCGAAAGAAACCGATTTGAAAATATCGTCCGAGAATTTAGTTATTTTTTGTTGCTTAAATGAATTATTGTCATTTTGGATCTTAAAATACCAACATTTCCACTTTACTTTCCACTCTTACTTGAGTGATTTCTTGGATGGATACTTTTTACTTCTACTGAGGTAAAACTTTGGTTTTTTATGTCTGATGAACGCTAAGTGCTAGCCGTCGATGACGTCGACTGGTTTGCGTTTTGTTTTGGTATAATTGTGTTTTTTAGATGGTGGTGGTGTGGAACACGCTAAACGCTGCTAAAGGCGGGGAGGGAACCATCTTGGCCAAAGCGCACACAGATGTGGACATCGTCACCATGAAGGTCACTTCCTTCGATGAGACGAGGTAAACGGCTTGTTCCTGCTGCTGCTGCACCGAAACACAACAAATTCTGCAGCACATCTACATGTTACAATCGTCATAGTCAAGCTAGCATAGCTGACTTACTTTCCTTCTTCATTCACTATGTTTTCCTTAATTAAAACGTTTTCCTGACCTCGTTATCTAGCTGTTGTCGTGGTGACAATTAGTAGCAAAGCACTGGGTCCATTTTTCTTTTATACATCAGGCGTACATTTAAGATTTAGCTCGTTATGTTGATAACAGATAAAACCAATGCTAGTCTTCACTAGCGATCGGGATCTTTAGCGTCACTTTGCAACGTGCCTATAAATAATGTTTAATTTTTTTGTTCTTTCCATTTATGCTACAGAATGACATAAAGTGAATAAAACCCAGTAAAATAAAACCTTGATATAAAGAATAAACGCTTTTAGTTAGTAACTGGGATGGAGTGAAACCTGCTGCAGTAAATCAATTAAGCTATTAATCACATGATAAATTAAAACAAACTCAATAATTTCCTTTTGCATTATTTCTTATTTTTCTGTTTCTTGTGTTTGCAGAGTCTTTATAATACCTTTTATATGTTGGTTTGTTTATTTTTGGATATTTTAAATGTCTTCCAGGTCAAATGTTAAAGTTTAATGATGGTTGAGAATGTGTTCCTGCATCGTTTGACTAGAAAATGGTCTAAAATCTGCAGTCTGGTCGTTTATCGCAGTAACTTAGGGAACGTTTGTTACCTCAGCACTGAGTTGCACGTTTGAGTCGCTGTGTTGAGTTGATGTGCCGACCTGAGCTGCTGCGTCGTCAGGATGGTGTCGTGCGGCCGAGAGAACGTCCGTCTGTGGCGGGTCCGGAACGGCTCGCTGCGGTCCTGCCCGGTCTACCTGGGAGAGTTTCACTCCCTGGACTTCACTGACGTGGCGTTCCAGGAGGGCGGCGCCGCTGACCAGCAGCTCGACGACCGAACGCTGTGAGTGACTTTGCTGTTTTTCTTTCGGGTCTCTCGGTTTTTCCCACTGACGGCGTTTTGTTGTTCCTCGCTCAGATTCGCCAGCACGCAGAGCGGCCATGTTTTGGAGATCGACTACAGCAGAGTGACGGTTAAAAACGTGAGGCGGTTGATGCCTGCACAGCAGCGGCATGCAGAACGCAGGGAGAAATGGACGTTCAACACCGGTGGGTTAAACCCCGCAGGCCCTCCTGTGTTTAAACAAATATATACATCTAATTTAGCTTTTCTCAGAGATTACAAACTCTGTTTCAGTAAATACAAACTCCACCAGAGGTGTAAATATCCCATTAATATTATCGTATATATTTGTTTTGATACTTTTACTTACTTATGTTATTATTATTGTGTCCTTGCAGCAAAATTTTCCTCTATGTGCATTTTAAATGTACAATTGAATGACAATAACGTCTAAGTATCACAACAGCTGCTGTAGTTTCAGAGAAAATATGGATTAAACTTAAAATAATTTGGAATATTTGCTGGATATTTGTTGCATTTTACATCAGATAAACCTTTTAGAAATACAAGTAAAACTACAAACTTTTTTAAACCAGAGATCCACATTACATGTGCAAAAAAACCATGTACAATGAAGTAAATTAAAGCAAATTTACAGAAGTTTTAGTAAAAAAAAAAAAAATACCAGGCAAAATCTACAAAATTTCTTGTTTTTGATATATATTTTTAAATATATTAAATATATAAATTTATTTATTTATTGTCCAATTATAATAAAACAATTAGAAAAAAAGAAAAAACTTGCAACATTTGTAGGCACATTTTACTGGAAAGCCTTTTTTTATAAAGACACTAAAGTAGCTCCGTATGTGTTGTTTGTATCTCAGGTCCAGGGATTCCCATCAACAGCATCAGCGTGTCTTCGTCGTTCTGCGCCACCGGCACCGAGGACGGCTTCCTGCGGCTCTGGACCCTCGATTTCTCTGCAGTCATTTTGGAGGCGGGTAGGCACAGCGGGGGGCAGGAAAGGTTCTGCCCGCATGAGCGAACCGATCCCCACGGGTCCAACTCTGCAGGCAGTCTTTTCACCCTGAGGACAAACGATTGACATTACATCTTCATGATAAGTTCAGTTGAAAGGTCGACCCAGTTTCAGACATAAAGACGGTTCTGGTTTGGGATGCACAATAAATCGGCACCAACATCGGTATCGGCTGATATTAGTCATTTTTAACATATCGGTATCAGCTGATATTAGTCATTTTTAACATATTGGTCCGATGAATAAAACTGGGCCATCTTGTTGCTGCCAGTTTCTGGTCGTTTTTCCAAAGGTGTCAAAACAATAGAGAAATAAATATCGGTAAATATTGGTTATCGTACAATATTGATATTGGCCCAAATTTTCATATCGGTCCATCCATAGTTCAGGTGACTCTTATTATAGGTCGGGATATTTTACTATCTCAGGATTTGATTCAAAATCAATGTTTGATTCAATATATCTGTGAAAGAAATCATCAAGTATGGAGGGCAAAAGGTGGCAAAATTAAATAAACAAATAGTCCATGAAATACATATGCATAAATCTCTCATTTGTTTATTTTCCAGCCTTTATTTTATCAGGACAAAAAACCCTTTGAGGTTAAAAACTTGTTTTTCAAGAGATTCCTGACTGCAGCACAGAAAAACTCAGTGAAAAGAAACTCTATGAAAACTGAGCTGCATTTCATAGAATCAACCTCAAGCTTTAGATTTAAAATGAAATTTATTAGGAAATCATTAAAAGCAGCTGGATCTGACAGTTTAAATCGTCATGACGACGGATGTCCAGGATTTTAGATTATTGCTGATTTTTAATGAAAATGACAGAAGAATCTCCCTGTAAACTTGGATGAACTAAAACTGATGATAAAAGTTCCTCTGTTGGGTTTTCTGAACGTGAAGCGTTTCGGTAAAACCTCGCCGGTTTGTTGTCTTCCAGAGCACGAAGGCCCGGTGGCCGTGGTGTCGGTGTCGTCCGACAGCCTGCAGGTTCTGGCCGCCACCTTCACCGGAAACCTGGGCTACCTCGACGTGAGCAGCCGCGGCTACAGCACCCTGATGAGGTCGCACACCGACGACGTGCTGGGCTTCAGCGTGGACGGCATCCGGCGCCACCTGACCACCGCCTCGGCTGACGGGACGCTGCGCGTCTGGCACATGGATTCCTTACAGCAGGTCAGCCGGCGCCGGATCTAAAGTTTTGGTTTTCAACTTACAGTCATGAAAATATCAGGAAACTCCGGTAAACACACCGATCTCCACACGTCTGGACACTGTGAAAACTGTGACTACCACAGACCAAAGTCATCATAATTAACTAAAACTAATGAAATATGACTTTGTGTAAAAAAATGTAGTGATGTGTTTTGACTAGGCCATGGTTCTGTCCTAGCCTCTCATCAGCTGGGCTCTGTGTGTTTTTCTCCCTGTAGTTGTATGATTTCGCGTCGATGGACAAACCGTGCTCCGTGGCGTTTCATCCACACGAGCCGACCTTCGCCTGCGGCTTCTGCTCCGGAACCGTCAGAGTGTTTGACATTTCCAGCGCCAGGCTGCTGGCCGAGCACAAGTAGGCAGCTTTCCCACGTCTGCTGCCGGCAGCTGGCTCAGACGGACGGCGTCCTGGTTCTGTTACGGTTCCATCATGGTTCCGTTATGGTTCTGTACCGGTTCCATCACGGTTCTGTTACGGTTCCATTACGGTTCCGTTACGGTTCCATCACGGTTCTGTTACGGTTCCATTACGGTTCCGTCATGGTTCCTTCACGGTTCCGTCATGGTTCCTTCACGGTTCCGTCATGGTTCCTTCACGGTTCTGTTACGGTTCCGTTATGGTTCTGTTACGGTTCTGTCCCAGTTCCGTCCCGGTTCTGTCCCGGTTCCATCACGGTTCCGTTACGGTTCCATCATGGTTCTGTTACGGTTCCATCATGGTTCCGTTACAGTTCTGTACCGGTTCCATCATGGTTGTGTTACAGTTCTGTACCGGTTCCATTCCGGTTCCGTCACGGTTCTGTCACGGTGCCGTCCCGGTTCCGTTACGGTTCCATCCTGGTTCCGTCACGGTTCCGTTACGGTTCCATCCCGGTTCCGTCACGGTTCCGTTACGGTTCCATCCTGGTTCCGTCACGGTTCCGTTACGGTTCCATCCTGGTTCCGTCCCGGTTCCGTCACGGTTCCTTCACGGTTCCTTTATGGTTCTGTCACGGTTCCATCCCGGTTCCGTCACGGTTCCTTCACGGTTCCTTTATGGTTCTGTCACGGTTCCATCCCGGTTCCGTCACGGTTCCATCCCGGTTCCTTCACGGTTCCTTCATGGTTCCTTCACGGTTCCGTCACGGTTCCTTCATGGTTCCTTCACGGTTCCGTTACGGTTCTGTCCCGGTTCTGTTTCCTCCCAGGCAGCACCGAGGGGAGGTCATCGGTCTGGCCTTCTCCTCAGACGGAGACCTGATGTTCAGCGCCGACTCTGACGGCTCTCTGGTGCTTCATGACGTCTCGGAGGAGGAGCACAGCGTGGTCAGAGTGGCATGTATGCAGATGCTGACGCTTCATTACATCACTTCCTGCAGCTGCATAGTGACTCAAATCACAAGCTGAGATTCAGGAATGCTTTTAAATATCAGATGATGACGAATGATTTTATTTCAGTAACTTTATTTGAGACGGTGAAAATACGACTGACAGAACAGCTGATATAGACATGAAGGAGTCTTTTGTTTATATCAGCTGTTCTGTCAGTCAGAAGAGATTTCCAGACAAAAGTTTTTTGTTTTTTAAATCAGGAAGTTAAGTTTCTTTTAACTTATGTTTGATAATATATTGAGTTGTCAGAAGCAGATCTGTCAAGGATGAAATGAAGAAGCTTTAAGTGTTTGGATGCTTGTTTGTCTTTTCAGACAGTAATTTTCTCTCCTTTACATTTAATTTCTACTTTCTCTGCATGTCTTAATTCAAACTGTGGCTTTAAACTCGTTACGTCTGTAAAAGTCAGGATCCGTTTTCATGTTTCTCTGCTGAACCTGATCCATGTTTGCAGGCAGCGTTGTGGCCCGAGGCACTGAGCGCGCTCCGGACGCTCTGGCGGTCAGCGGCGACAGCAGCCGGCTGGCGTTCGTCGGTCCGACGCCGCACGTCATCACCGTCGCTGACGCTCGCTCTCTGGACGAGGTACTCTGACCTTTAACCCCCGTCCACTGCTAAACTAACACAGAGTTAAAATAAAATTGGTAATTATCTTATTTAAACCGTATCCCAGCGTCCTTCTAGAGCTAAGGTGTTCAAAGTGCGGTCAGGGGGCCATTTGTGGCTCGTGGCCCACCTACTACAGTTCAAGATTGAATTAATTAAATTAGAACAAAACTGTGAATTTTATATCAAAATCTACTTACAAAGATGTCGGATGCAAAATAAAGAGATCATCTTTTCCAGACTTTGTTGTTCTCCACACTGACTTTAAAAAAGACAGAACTCTGAGAAAAGTCAAAATTATTAGGAAAAAAAATCAGAATTCTAATAAAAAATTTCAAATCTGGTTTAAAAAAACCTACAGTTTTGACGTTTGTTTCCTGCAGTTTTAACGTTTGTTTCCTGCAGTTTTGACGTTTGTTTCCTGCAGTTTTAACGTTTGTTTCCTACAGTTTTAACGTTTGTTTACTGCAGTTTTAACGTTTGTTTCCTACAGTTTTGACGTTTGTTTCCTGCAGTTTTAACGTTTGTTTCCTGCAGTTTTAATGTTTGTTTTTGGGTTTTGTCCGCCGCTCCACCACTGCTGGCCCTTTAAGTCGCCCATAATCCCGATTTTTCCCAAATGAAGAGTTTGACGCCCCTGAGCGTGTTGCTTTCTGCAGCTGCTGCATGTGGACGTCAGCGTTTTGGACGTGGAAAGCTCCGAGCTGGATTCAGCGCTGAAGGTCCGCTTCTCTCCGCCCTCCGCCGAACATTTACTTGTCGCTACGTCTGCTAACAAAATCCTGTGGATCAGCACCAAGACGGGCCGTCTGCTCAGACAGGTAACCGCCGTCGCTTACCGGGTTTATCGACCCATCGGTAATTTTGTGGCAGGATCACTGCAAAAACACAGTCTTACCAAATATTCTGTCTAGTTTTACTGAAAACAAAACAAACTTGCAAGTAACTTTTCAACAAGATATAGGAGGTTTTTTAAGTTAATAATTCCCCAGTTTTAGTTCCACTCACAGATTATTTCACTTCTAACATGGAAAAATGTCTTGTTATAAGTGGAACTAGAACTTTTTCATCAATATTATGGAATTGTTGACTTGCAGCTAGCTCCTATGCTTATAAAAGTTCCCTGTAAATTAGTTTTGTCTTATTTTAATTGTCATAAAATATCTGCACTAGATACTAGACCAAAATACTTGGTAATATTTGTGTTTCTGCAGAGTTTGATCCCCGTTTCACCTGATACTTGAGTTTGCTCAGCAACGTTGCGGTCTCTGCAGGTGTCCGGCGTCCATAAGCGTCCCTGTTCCTCTCTGGCTGTGAGCGAAGACGGACGCTTCCTCCTCACGTCTGGACACAACACTGTGAAAGTGTGGGACTACAAGCGGACAAACCAAGTTAACCCACAGGTAGCTTTGGATTCGGTGGTTTTAGGGCTGCAGTCAGTGGTTTTGGTTGTTGATTATTCTCTATTATTTGATTAATCAATGATTCTGACGATTAATCGAATAAAACATGGATACTTTCTGCAGATTTTTAATTTAACCACTTAATCTTATTTTCCAAAATATTTGAAATACATTTCAAAATATAAATAAACAAATAATATATATTAGAAAATAAACATTTTATTCCCTAAAATGCAGAAAAAGCTTTCCTTTCTTAAATGTTTGATCATTTGTATCAAAGATTCATCTGCAGCTAAAACGTATTTCTGACATGAACATGTAAAAGTTTCAGTGTAAGGATCATCTGGTTTTTATTTTATTGACCGATTAATAATTGATAAATAATCAGGAGATTTTATTTTACAAAACCTGGTAAGTTTTTTTTTTTTAATTTATCTTAAATGCAAAATGTATTATTTATTCATTTTTAGGTTAATTACTGGTCTGAGTGTGAATACTCCAGAGAACGATTAAAGTTATTTCAGTAATTGTTTAATCAAGATTAGTCGTTCCAGTTTTATATATTTTATGACCTTTTCATGCTTTTAAAAACAATAAATTACATTAAAACAACAATCAGAACAAATAGCTATCAGTTTGTTTATTAAATTTTTGAGCAAACCGTCGTTTCATCTGCAGTTGATGAGTATTGACTGAATGTTTATTGAACACGCCTGTTGGTCCCAGATGTACATCGGCCACAGCCAGCCGATCCGCCAGGTCAGCTTCACCCCCGACCAGCTCGGGGTCGTCTCCGTGGGAGACGCCATATTCCTCTGGGACTTCCTGGCAGAGCCTGATGAATGTGTAATGGGCAGCAGGTAAGACGTCGCTCCGTTCACCTGCTGCAGATTCAGCTTCAGTACTGAAGACCAACTCCTTCTGTTCCCACAGATCCCAGTTCAAAGCTAGCTACAACATTCCTCTGCCAGCAGGTACGGCTTTAGCTCGGCGCTACAGTAGGTCAGGCTTAAATTAGCAGCTTCTCGCTGAGGAAAGGGTCCATTATGGGGTTAATTTCTTCCCTGTAAATCCAGACGGTGAAGTGAACGCAGCACAGCTGTCCAATGGGATGCCTCGGCAGGCGGTGCCGCTCCCCTCCTCGCAGCACCAGCTGGACGTTAGCGCCATGGACCCAGAGATTCAGGGAGGCACGTTGCTTTTAATCCTCCGTTTGGTCAAAACCAACTAAAATGTTTTAAACACGCGATAAATCATGTTCATTTACAGATATTAGTGGTGGGGACCGCTAACTGAACGGTTAGCTGCGCTAAAGTAAACACTAATCCCCAACATTAGTTCCGCTAATGCTAAAGGCTATGCCAACATGGTATTTAGCAGGAGCTAATGCTAAAGCGCTATGCCAACATGGTATTTAGCAGGAGCTAATGCTAGAGCGCTATGCCAACATGGTATTTAGCAGGAGCTAATGCTAAGGCACTATGCCAACATGGTATTTAGCAGGAGCTAATGCTAAAGCGCTATGCCAACATGGTATTTAGCAGGAGCTAATGCTAAAGCGCTATGCCAACATGGTATTTAGCAGGAGCTAATGCTAAAGCGCTATGC